TCATAACTATTTGTTTAAAAAAATATTTTGTGCTACAATATTTAAGTAAATAATAGTGCTGTAATGTATATGCAAATCAAACCCCTTGAGAAAAGAACCATGTGAAATTTCACTAGCTGCACATCACATTGTTATTATATTTTCTACTAATAAAATGTAATTCTTTCTGATGAAAATAATTTCGATGTCTTGTCTTCCATTTTCACATCCTATTCTTCTGATAATTTGAAAAGACATTTTTTTTCAGACTTAATGTACTTAAAGGCAAAGAATTAATTTGAGCACTTCAGATTACTTATGCCTGGTAATTAATATGAGTCTTAATAATAGTCGTCATGTTCTTCATTTTTCTTGATTAACAAATAATCTAATCAAGTCTCAATTATTGCTTTCCCTCTTTGAAGTTTCTTTCAGCTATGAGTCTTTAATTATGAAAAAAAGTAAGAATGTTGAGAATAAACTTGATGGAATAAAAATGAAACAACGTCCAGAAGATCAATTTGAAGTTAGGTTCAAACTTGATATTTATTAGTTTTATCTAAGGAAATATTGAGTATCTTAGTTTGGTTTTAATTAGACAAAACTCAGTACTTTTCTGGGGAGGTCTCATTTTATATAAATTGAAATCGAAAATTATTATTCCATATTGAACAATTTTTTTCACTATTTTTCAAACTAAAGGGCTTCATGCTTTTCTTATAAAATCTTAATTATTTTAATAGAATATTTCAAGCAATACTGACTGAAATTTGATTTTTTAAAATAACGTTTATTTACTAGGTAGGGTATAACGTAAAACATTCCTGATAAAATTACGGGGAAAAGAACATGCATCATGAGTACAGGCTTCGTGAAATTCATTTTACCGTAACATTTTATACCGTAATTTTTACAGTTATATTTATAAATTATATTGTTTTAACAAATATTACTGTAATAATTAGACTTAATGACGGTAGATTCAGAAGCAATTGACCCTAAAAGAGACTTCATTAGTGAAGCAATCATAACCCAAACAAAATTCAGTGCTATTATATCAAATAAAGCCTTGAAAATTAGCAAACAAGATAGGGAAAAGTTGTTAAATGTTGCGGGTTTATTCTTAGGTCTGATCACAACCCAACACGCAATTATAAACCAATGAAGAGGAAGAATTTATAAGAAAACTGAACAACTTAAGAACACAAAACCAACATATGTATTAATGTTGCAACATGTACCTACAATCGATTGAAGACCATCTTTTGACGCAATACCACAGAAACAAGATGATGGGGAAAGACAACATGTTATGTTGGTTTATCCTACAGAGAAAAATTGCTCATCGGATGATACTAAACGTCAAGTGACAAGCACTATAGACCCTATCAAATTGAAACTAGGAGTCAAAAGGATTAACAAGATTAGGAAAGGAGGCATCGTGGTGCAGTTATCCAATGAAGATGAGATCCAAAAACTCAAGACAGAGATAGAAAAGAGTAGTACAGGAACCAAACTCTCCTGTACAAAACCAAAAACAATAAACCCTAAAGTTATATTATACGTTGTGATAGAAGACATAAACAAAGAAAACTTGCTGGACAAGATAAGAGACCAAAATCCGCCACTTAATCAAGCTGACATGACAATATATTTCCCGCTAAGGGCCAAAGAAGGAAATCACTGGGTCGTTGAGACGGATCCGGATACTTTTCACAAGATTGCATACTTAGAAAAACTAAACCTTGGATGGAATAGGGTCAGAGCAAAAGAGTTTCTTAGAGTGACTCAATGCTTTAAATGCTATAGATTCGGGCACATGGCGAAATGCTGCAAGGAAGAGAGCATATGTGCCAATTGTACACAGAAAGTTCACAACATGGAAAACTGCACTACCAAACCAAAATGTATAAACTGCAAGATATCAAGCGACATCCACCATCTAAACCTGAATACTAATCACAGTGCAACCAACAAAAAGTGTGAAACTTATCAGTGGGAAAGAGATAGATTAACAAAGAAAATAAACAATGGATAAGTACGAAGAAACAATCAAATTGTCACATATAAACCTAAATCATGCAAAAATTGCTAATGAGCAGCACTCCACTGATTTCATTTTTCTAGATATCACTGTGGGTTCATTAAACGAACCATACTACAACACAGATAATTTTATAACAGGATTTCAACAGGACATTGGAATTATTGCTGGTGAGGATAGACCGAGGAGAGCTGTCCTTTTTAGGAAAGGCGATGTGGACTTCTTCCCGATCTGTATTGAACTGGACTTGGTGGTAGCGAAAATTACCCTAACAACCCGCCATTTCATTTTTATTTCCGCCTTTGTGTCCCCTTCAGCACCTTTAACACCGATACTCAACGCCATTCAGGAACACATGATCAAGTACTCCGATAGTGACTTTCTGATAAACGGAGATTTCAACACTAAGAGCATCCTCTGAGGAAACCCATCAGATGATAATAGGGGCAATGAACTCATTGAATTCGTCGCTTTGATGAACTTGAGCGTTGTGAAGGACCCAGAATCCCTATCAACATTTCATTCCACAATAGGTGACAGCTGGATTGAAGTTACTTTCTACACAAACAAGCAAATTGAAATTCAAAGCTGGCAAGTGATGGGTATCAAGACACTGAGTGACCACAGACTGCTGCTCATGGAGCTAACCGAGGTGGGGCAGGATCGGCCAAAGACGGGAAAGATAATATTCACAGATATAAACCTTTTCGATTTAACTGTAAAGATCAACAAATTAATCCGAGAAACGGGGAGGATGATTGAACACATTGAAACGACGAACTTACTGGACAACTATATACAGGAAACAACGGATCCCAATAAGAGAGATTTGCCGGGCCTCGCAGAAGAGGAAAGAAAGATCACATCCTAAAATTCCAAAATGGTGGTCACTCGATTTATCTATTCTAGGAAACGTCTAAGAGCCAGGCGAAGAAGATACCAAAAGGAAACAGAACAGACAACAAGATAGATTAAAATGATGGAATATAAGAGGGAAAGTTCAATATACACCAATAAAATTAGGAAACAAAAGACACAAGCACTATGAGACTATCTTACAAGCATCACAAACAAGGATTGCTTCGGATCAGAATATTTAATTGCCAAAGGTAAATCTTTGGGCGGTGGTCTTTTAAAACCACGGATGCGAACTAACGGAAGCTACACCAATAACATTTCGGAAACGATAGGAGAGATTTTGAGCTACCATTTTTCTAGGATTAAAGATCACCCACCACCAGAAATAACTAATAAAAATCTTGAACAACCCTTTACAAATACAGAACTAGCTTTGGCAATTGGCAACATCAAAAACAATAAAACACCGTGACCAGATGGTGTCCCATCTGAAATATTTAAAGCTATCTGGACGCTGCAGTCAGTTTGGTTTGAAAATGAAATGAATAAATGCCTTGAGGTAAACTTTTTCCCCACTGTTAGGAAGAAAACTAGGTTGATTCTAATACCAAAGCAGGGAAAGGATCCACACGCTCCGGATGGCTGTAGACCGGTTTCTCTACTTCCAACATTGGAAAAGATTCTGGATAAGTTACTAACAAATAGACTAATCTTCTTCCTCGAATCGAGAGGGAAAATCCACAAGGACCAACATGGGTTCAGGACAAAGAGATCAACCACGGCTGCGGTAAAGGCCTTGTTAGAAATCATAAGCCAGGCCAAGAAGAAAAAGTGCTACACGTTGGGGGTTTCCCTTGACATGAAGGGAGCCTTCAACAGTGTGGTATGGAGTGGGATCATTGCCCAGCTGGTAAGACCAAATTGTTCTTTTTCACTTACCGAAATCATCAAGAGTTTTTTGACAGATAGATCCATAGTATAGATCCATCTAACCACCTGGTAGTAGAACATACAATTACATAAGGAGTGCCACAGGGTTCGAGCCTTGGACCGATCCTGTTGCTAACAATAGCCAATGATATCCTAGAAAAAAGCAGACCAGAAAATGAATCAGTGCTGGCTTTCACCGATGACTTTATGGTGGCGATCACCGGCACAATACTTGACAGATTAGGCCCCCTGATCTCAGATATTCTGGGTCACTACCAGAACTGGGCAGAAGGGTACGGACTAAGATTTAGCACAGGGAAGTCAAAAGCAATTGTTTTCCACAAAAATAAGTAAATCACAAGAAAATCAACGATAAAACTAAATAGTCAAAATGTCAAAGTTCACTATACCATAGTCTACCTTGGGTTCCGACTCAACTGTCAGCTCTCCTGGCTACCACATCTCGAGCATCTATATAGCAATGTTTCAACTTTTCAAAACAAATTAAACAGGCTCTATGGGGTTGACTGGGGTATCGGCTCGAAGATCAGGAAATACATTTATCTACAATGTACCCAAAAATTATAACTTACTGAGCGGAATTGTGGTTTAATGAGCATGTTAGAACACTGAACAAAATTTAAAAAATCTAACGGATGCCACTACTGAACTTAACGAAGGCCTACAGAATAACATCCACAGCTGTTCTACAGATCTTGGCCGGAACCATACCGTTAGATCTAATTATAAAAACCGAGGCTAGCATGTCAAATGAATATCTTCATGAAGAGAAAACATCCAACCACTTAGAAATTCCGATGAAGCATCCAGCAGATTACATTAGAATTCCTTACGAACTGGACTCCCCGACAAACAAAGACATGGAAATTTACACAGATGGTTCACGGCTAATCCGCAATAATGAATTTAGGGTAGACTGTGCTTTTGTGGCTTTTATGGATGGCCATCCTACGGATGGGTATACGTTTAGATTGTGCAATAATTCCATGGTCTATAAAGCCAAACTCTGGGCGATACTACAGTCTATCCTCTGGGTTAATACCAACAGCCTTCATATAACAGTCAGTATTTCTTCAGATTCTTTCTCTAGCCTACAAGCACTCAACAGACTCAAAGACACGGACTACCTGGTTAAATGATAAAAGACAACCACAGAAGTAATATAAAAATGTTTTGGATTAAAGCTCATGTCGAAAATAAGGGTAATGAGGAGGCTGAGAGCATGGCAAAACTAGTATGCCAGAAAACAAACATAGACATTTATAATCTTTCGTCAAAAAGATCTATCAGACTTGACTACCAGAACAAAAACCTTGAAATCCAGTAAAACAGATGGAACGACCCCTTATTACAGAGCCGCCATACTCACAATCTCATCCCAAAGGTAAACCACAACATGCAATACTCAAATTTCTACCTTAACCAATTCTTAACTTACCACGGAACCCAGGGTAGCTACCAATCATAATACCACAAAAAGTCACCAAATTGTCAACTCTGCAACAAACTTGACGACCTAGAGCATTCTCCTAGAATGCCATCATTTCAAATTAAAAAGAAACCAATTTTTTCCTAAAATCCTCAGCTATACAAACATGTTGGAAAACTGGCATCAAAGGAAAATACGTCAAAGAAAAGAGGAAATAATAAAGGAACATTTTGAAAGGAACATACCAGAAGTTACATAAGGCTTCAGGGGGTCCCCCCGCATTCTATCTTTGTCTGTTTGGACTACGAAGGAACCAAAGGAATCTACGAAGATGATACCTCAAAATTAAATGATCCAGAAACAACTTTCAATAAACTCAAAATGATATTTTTCCGAACAATAGACAATGCTTTGGATACAACCACATAGTTTAACTTAATTTTGCTTTTAATACTCTAGAACTTTCACATGACAGTCTGTATCAAATATTCTTTACATCTGTTAAGTCGATCATGTCGGGACCATAAATCAACTTTACATCTGTTAAACAGCAGTGTTATTGTTCTGAATCATCTTTTCATCTGTTTACTCTTTCTCACTTTTGTAACCTCAGCCTATGCTGAAAGTCTTATGTTATGATTATAGTATATATATTTTTAATGTTTGATCCAAAATAAATCTTTGCGGCCTTCTAGGACGGGGCGGGGCCGTAGATCGTGGAAGCTGCTCGGCGCATGCAGCACCCAGGTAAAGTACCAACATCAAAATTTATAAGTATCTGTTGATACATTTCGATTCACTTCCCGTGCATCGCTATCTCGAATGCCGCCCAAATCGCTTGCCTACCATCTTCGCCAGTGTTGCATTGTTCGTTACCAAGCCACTTCCTATGAGCGTCCTTCTCTCAACTGATGCAGTCAGGAACGCGCGCACAGTCACCAGTAACTCCTGAATGCCCTTACGGGGGCGGGACAGGGTTAAGCCCTCCATACCGTAATAATTACGGTACATCAGAATTTTTGTTTGTGAAGCGTTGCAGTAGAAAGTATCAGTACTCAGGATGCTAGCAGCATTTACCGCGAATTTTATCAGGAATTATTTATAAAGTAAGATTAAAAGAATCCAAGAATAAAAAAATTTCTGATTTTTATGCAATTGAAACGTAATGGATCGGGAAAATTCCAAATTATTTTCCTTATCAATAAATATTGTATGTTCCATCGTAGCTTTACAAAGAATCGAGCAGTCCTAGGAAAAAAAATAGATTCTTTTAAAAAATAGAATTATCTAAACATAGCAAAAATATTTTCACTGGAATGCGAGATTTATACTTAGACATCTAGAACATCCAGAATCATCTAGAACAACAACTGGAACGTTACATTTTTATACTGCAACATAAGATCGGGGGTTCTGCTGGTTAAGATTTCTGGAATTACAGGTTGATCATGGTTGCAATGATCCTTAATGGCATGAATGGGTTAATCGTGATAGGACATTTGCAGACTTTTTCCGCCGAACTGGACTCATAAGAAAGTAAATCAAAAATTTCCTTTTTCAATACTTTATAATAATTTAAATACTTTATAATGACATACTATAAAATTATTAAAAATAAAGTATCAAATTTATTATGTATATTATTTCATAATATTTTACAACATTTTTCAAGATTTTGAACAGTCGTTTTTGAAGTTAAAACTATTGTACTAACCATAGGAAAAGTCATACTTGTATGAATAAGACTATCTGAATAAGTACATTCAGTTCAGTTTCTATTCACTATACAGTCACTGGCCAACTTATTAGACGCACTATAGGATTCTACGTAAAATCTTAATTATCAGGTGATACTATACAGCTTTATTGTTTTATGTGACTGAAGCCGGTTTCCACTTGTTTACGTTAGTAAATCAATTGGTTAAATTAGACGATATATAATATATAAATATAGAATTTTTTTTTTATATCAAGCATTACATTCGTATATTAAAATAATTAGATAATATTATTAGACACACTGTAGTTTCTTAATAATTACATGATTTGCACGAGTTTATATGCAATACTTTTATATTTAAACATGGGTTTTATTCAAGAGATTTTTTATATACGTATGTACTTCCTATTTGTATTTATTTTTAACGTATTGTATTACAATGTTAACCAATTGATACAGGAGAGTAAGGAAACAAATGTGGGTTTCCTCCGAGTAAAAACAATGCGGCTGTCACCTAATAATTATAATTTTACGTCAAATCTTATAGTGTGTCTAATAATATGGACTGTAGGTCTTCTATTGTATCTAGAATAATTTTTATAAATATCCCAATATTAGTTTGTGACCTTTCATTTGTACAATTGAGGTTACGCATTTAGTGAAAATACTAAACAATTAAAAGTAAATTTTATCTATCTTATATTTAATAAACACATTGACGTTTAATACATAATTCTTCCAGGTGGAGATATGTGAGAATCTTGAAATTAGGGGATGAAAAAGAAACTGTTTCCCGTTAAACATGTTATGCTTGTTATTTACTGGTTTCTACGTGCTTATATATTAGATTGGTAAGGTTTAATTTATATTTTAGTTCAATAGTATATTAATGAATAGTTAAATATGAATTTCTAGTGGAGTTTTGCATTCAGTATCTGCCTTTTACTCTAGAAATTAGTTTACAATTTTTGAAGCAAACTGAGAAATTAAGAAACAAACATCAGCGTAACAGAAAAAATTGTAGTTTTTATTGATATTTTTTTAAAAAAAAATACTATTAATTATCATACATTAAATAAAGATGTATATATACTTGTTTTAATACTCTTCAACATAGTTATGATAATTTCAGCGAAACAAAATGCGCGTATTTCGTATATAATTATTTTCTCTTCATGTTACCTGTAGGGTCGTTTTTCAAAAAAATGTTTTTAATACATTTTTTGTACTCTAACAAGGATTACTTTAAAAATCACTAACTAACTATAGTAAGAAAATGTAAATAAAAGAATGATTAAATAAAAAAAAGGATCTAGCTAGAACGGAAGCCGCGTACATAGAAATGCTGCACTGTACTAATATAGTATGTTCATATAGTACTATAATATGTATGAGTACAAGTATATATACATTAGTACTTATTGTATCGAAAATTGATCGATACTTAATAGTGATAATGCATGTATAGCACTAATATATGAATTCTAGGTGCATTGTTAAATTTTGTGCCAATCCAAAATAAATTACTTAAAAAAAAAAATTTAGAACAAAACGGAATGACTTTTGATCTAATGATTGGATCTTCACGTTCTAGGACTCAATCTTAATGGCTAGAGGGAGTGACCTCAAGTGTGCTAATTAATAAGTGTAGACGATACCTTAAGTTACGAAATCAAACATAAAAACGTACTCTCTCTGAATAAACATACCTCTCTTACGACGGATTCGGATTTCCGATCCCCGAAATATAGGTGATGGTCGTAATATGGGAATATGATCCCAATAGTTTGGTCAGTAGAGTATTCCAAAGTTTGGACCCCTTAATTTTAATTTTACTTTTTGTGTACTTCGCTTTATCTCAAGAACTTAAGCGAATTGAAAAATTTTTGCACAACTTATAAAATTCCTTTAACCAAAGATGATTCCATGCATAAAATAAGTTTTAGTAAATATTTATTATTTTTTATTACATATTTTACTTAATAATGGTCGTAAAATTTTGAATTGTACGGTATAGATTTTTTGTATCATTTTAAAGAATATATTTTTACATGGCAAAATAAAAAATTTGGGCAAAATTGGTTGAATAGTTCCTGAGAAATCAAATTTTAAATCTCTTACTTTTTTGAAATTCAATTTTTCAGGTTAACTAATCTACTGATTTTGCTCAAATTTAGTATTTTGCTATGTAAAATTATCTGCTTTCAGATAATGCAGAAGAATGTATACCTTACAATTCAAAAATCTTTTGACCTTTATTAAATAAAACAACAAATATTTACTAAAAGTTATTTTTTGAGAGGAATTATCATTGGATAAACAAATTTTATATTTGTGTGCAAAATTTTTTCATTTCGCTTAAAAACTTCCCGAGATATAGCGCATAAAGTAAAATTAACATTAAGGGGTCCAAACTCCTGACCAAACTATAGGGACCATATTTCCAAGATTGAGGCCACCCCCTATATTTTGGAGGTCAGAAATCCGAATCCGTCAAAAAAAGGTATATTTATTCTGAGAAAGTGCTCTTTTTTTATCTGATTTCGTAACTTAAAATATCGTCTGCACTTATAAATTAGCCTATTTGAGGTCACCCCTTTTAGTCATTAGGATTAAGTCTTAGCACATGAAGATCCTATCATTAGATCAAAACTTACTCAGGGTGATCCCTTTTTAAAAAAAAAAAAATCGCAGATGAGTATATTTGAGCTATAGACGGGTGTGTGTAGAACATAACAATGTGCTATAGTAGGATTAATAATATGATTATAGTAGGATTAATTTATTGATATAAACTTAAGAAATTTACCTATAAAAGGATTAGCTAATAATTAAATTGTTTTAATATAAATTATTTTATAAATATATTGTTTTTTTTTTAACATTCTAATTTAGAAATATCTCACCAATAGTAAATAGATTAAAATAATTTCATAAAAATTCCTTAACGACTTTTTAATGTTGCTGAGACGAAGTAATCATTAAGATGTATGTAGGGTTTTAGATAAGAGATTCTTAAAGTTGATAGTCTAAAGTAGATTAAATCAAACAACATTGCGGGAATGAGATTTAGCTTTCAATAAAAAATCTTTATTAAATTGATGAAATGTGAATTTTTACAATAATTTCAAAGCTCTACTCTTATTTCACATTAAATTAAGTGTTTAAGTGTGATTATGTTTGATATTGATCTAAATATTAAATTTAATTATAATAAAGTTGAAGAAATGTAGATTTTTTTTAAAATTCTGATATTTATGCATGGAATGCTAGGCAAATGTTTCCTGATAACCCTGATAAAAAAAATATAAACTGCAGAGAACTATTTCAGTTTAATACTTATAAAATGACGGGTAAAAGACTAAAAGTTTAGTATGGTAATTCTGGTATGATCAAAGACGCATATATTAAAAATATCTTTTAATTTATAAAATGCAATAGTTTTTTTAAAAGTAAGCAAAAACTTAATTGAATTTTTTATAAAAAAAAAACAACTTATATTTTGGGCAAAATAACCGAACTTTCACAAAAAAGTAAAAAAAAAACTCCAACATTTGACAGAGTAAATGAAATTAGTTAAACTTTTAAAGAAAATTTTCACAGAATTTAAACAGCGAATTAAAAGTATTAAACTCGTATTTATTTTATTCAAACCATATTTTTCACACTTTTACTTTGACTCTTACGTAAAAACATTTGGAGTCCGAGTTTGAAAGAAAAAAGAAATTAATCAATCCTATAATATTTTTAATTTTAATTTTGTAGTATAATTAATAATTTTCACCTATAAGTTCACTACAATGACTTTCAAACCATGAATATTTCAATACAAAGATAAAAACGTAAGTTATTCTAGAAAGTTTCAGATTTAGACTAATATTTATCGTAAGTAATGAATACATTTTATTGTTTGTTGACAATACAACAGAATTAGAAAATATTAAGAATAATAAACAAAATAAGTAAGCAACAGAATAAGTCGATATGAAATTATAGTTAACTTCAGTTAGGTAGTGTACCAGCTAATCAAGAAATTACTTATAGTATTTACAAAAATCAACTTCAGGAAGAAAAAAACAAAAAAGAAAAGGTGATAGGCTTGTGCTCAGATTTAGAGACTATGAAGCAATTCTCATGAAATTTTAAAATTAGTAATAAAGTTTTTAAGTAGATAGCACTTTAGGCTGGAAAAACTAAAAAGCAATGCTCCCTCGTCAGACCAATCCAATTAAATAGATATTTACCAGTGTATAAGTAAATTAGTTCTCAGACTGCAGTGCGTTATTGTTAAAAATTGACATATCTCTTTTAAAAAGCTGCTTTTTCAGCTTGTACTAGATGATAGTGTCATCTCTTGACAGACTTTTTAATTAATTTTGAATTTTCTTATAGAAAAATTGGTTTTCTGAGCAGAATGCTGCAAACCATACAGTTTTATTTCCTTCCTCTTTTTTTAAGTTGATTTTTAAAATTGTTGGTAATTTTCGGTACATTTGGAACAGTTCTCAGATTGCAGCACGTTGTTATTAAAAATTTAAATATTTTTTAGAATGCTGTTTTTTTAGCTTGTAAGTTAATTGATTATTATAAAACGTATATTTATATTCTTAGGATCGGATCAAGCAGCGTGTTTGCTGAAGTGAGTTCAACACAGAATATTTCAGATCTGTTAGATAGTCTTCTTGATGGATATGATTACCATTTAAGGCCAGGAGTTGGCGGTATGTTTTGCTTATGTAATGCAATTAGATTCTACGTACTAAAAGTAAAGTCATTCAAAACTTTAAGACTAAGTCTTTTAAAAAGATCTTTACTCCCATTTTACTTAAAAGTCTGTTCAAATATTAATTTATTCAACATTTATTAAAAGGGGTTTTCATGCTAATACTAGAATTATACTTTGAATGATACCATGGTTAAGATTTTTAGAAATTTATATAATTAATAATTAAGACAATTGGAATAGAGAAACTGGCAATGCATTTTGTTGTATACTTGCTATTAGGAAAACAACTAATTTTTTTAAAAGTAAATAAGTCAATTTAGAATCTATTAACAGTGATGAAAAAAAAATAAATCTGAACTAATACAGAGCGAGAAAAGTTGAACTTATTTTACTTATTTATTCGTTAATGTTTTTAGAGAAATTAAAACGTTAACATGTAAAGTTTTTCTTTGAAAGCAATTTAATCTATTTCTGAAAACTTTGTTTTATGTACCATTCGGCTTATTTTTTAATAATTATTTGATTTAATTCCCTTCATTTACACTTTAAAAAGTAATGCGAAAATTTCCAAAAGTAATCTTCGTTTTTGACGAAAGAGTTTTAGTCAAGCATTAATACAAGTAAATGTTTTGAAAAATTGAAATAATTACTATCTTTACTTTATTAAAGATACAAATTTTGGGGTCAAAAGTTTATTATAATCAGTAATCTGAAGTAGTGTACTGCAAATAGTGAAACACTGTAGTTTTTTTTTCGTAGTTTTTCGTGTAGTGAGCGACTTTTTTTTAAGGAAAGTAGTGTTAGTAGCGATTCCTGGCAACTACCTTCTACGTTAGTTTAGTATTTGAACATGGTTCTACACTGTTAAAATTTTCATTCCAAAATTATGGTAAAATAACTGGCAGCTGTCTGTCCATCCGATTAGCCGTAAAGTTTACGGTAAAGGAAATTTTTTTCCTTTATGGTTTTGAATCCATTTACAAAAAGTATGGTTATAAGACCATGAATACGAAACTATACTGTTTTTTTACCATTTACTACTAGCGTTTTCCAAAAACGTAAAAATGAATTAATTATTTAACTAGACATATGAGCTTGACTTTTCGTAAGGTAATGGGTAATGGAGAGTGCCGGACACTGAAAATTCTTCATATGTTAAAGGAAATGGAGGAAATCTTGCGGTGTCAACACTTAGGACTCCAGTTCGGCCGGTCATGAGATTGACAGATAAGCCGACTCGGTTATGATATGGACACAGTTGTAAAGAACTAAGTAGATTCATTAAGTGGTTCTAGTTGGTGCGATAAAATTCTGGCTGTTTAACCGTATTAGGTGAAAGCAGTTAATAAACAGTTTTTCTCAAACTTAACCGCTTGATTACCATTTTATTTATGGTTATTAGACTGTTTTGATTAAATATGGTAAAATAACTAATCAATAAATTGTTATTTAACCACTTTTTCTGAGACATTTCTAACAGTGTAACAAAACTAATTTTTCGAATTTGATAGGTACACATTTTCGCGGGTCTGTCAAAGGCTGCAGTTTTAAGTGTTCCCGTAACTGTAAGTTAACAAGAATTGCGTATTTAGAGTCACGTATAACTAATATTTAAGATAGCCATAATGAATTTATCATTTTGGTCAGATGTTCACATGGAAGTGTACACTCGAAAAACAGTGATATTTCAAAGGAAGGAAATATATTTTTGATGTACTTAACTTCTTAGAGGAAATAAAAGAGCATTAAACACTTAACGAAATTGCAAGTATTTGATAATTTCCTATCATCTCTTAAATTAAAATTCTGTGTTTAAAAAGTTATGAGTGATGGTTAAATGAACAAATTCCAAAAAAATGTTTTTCAATAACAAACAGGCTGATGTAAACATGAATAAATATTTCTTAATTGTTCCCTTATATTTAATGTACGTCTCTTTTGTATTTAGAACCATTTTGAGAATAATGTATAAATTAATTCCTCCAGCAGTGTAAATTATACAGGAGTAAATAAATTTTTTCCAGCAAAACTTTTTTCTATAAAGTAGCAAATTATTCACTGCAATTCCAAAGTAGTTTGTAGTCACTACATTAAAAAAAAAGTAGTTGTAGTTGCTGTTAATTACATTTGTAACAAAGCAGTCGTAAATATAGTAAACTACAAAAATAATGTATTTTTCGAACCACTGACTATGAGACATAAATTAACATAATTGATTTGCAAATGCAGAATTAAACAAAAAGAGTGGAAAATAATTTAACGGTCACAAGAAATGAATTCCTGGAAACCTGTTGAGCCTGTAACCTAGAATCAAACCTGGAAATCTGCGAGTGCATATCCGTTCACACAGTGTGGACAATTTTTAAATTAGATAGAAAAGTAATGCTTAATTTTCTTGAACATTTTACAGAAAAATAAATATTTACTTTTTTTATGAACTGTAGTTTAAAACTGAATTTTGTTTATTCGACTATAGCAATAAAAACAAACAGGCGACAGACGACAGAAACTACCAGAATGTGCTAAGTTGACCCATGAATGAAAAAGCAATTTTGTCAAACATTTGAGAACAGTCATAAATCATGATTGCCTAGAACAAAGAATGATGAACAGCCAATGCTTAAAAAATTCAGTTTTGAGCTTGCGCGCTTTATTTATTATTACATCAACACATTTTTTAATATCTTAAATATATTTTTAATGTGTTTAAAATTGCGAGGATTAACAGACTTTATCGATTATTTCTAGAATAGATTTTAAGGAAATAGATGGAATAAAAAAAGAAGTTACCATTCAGCAGTAATAATACACATGCATGATAACACTTATGATGCGTAACATTTTTAATACATAACACATATTAGAATCTTAAGGTATGAATTATTGGTTACAGATTAAGGAATTGAGCAAAAAAATAGATTTTTGAGGTCAAGTTTTAGAAAAATTTGCCATAGATTTGCAATAAAAATATCTATTACTGATATACAGCTCTTGCATAAGGATTTCATAGTAGGGATAAGCCGATTTAGAATTTCCTGTGCTATTTGGTTCCACTCGTTTAACAAAATTATATTTATGACGCGGAAGGCGTCAAAGTGGTATTGAAAGCTATCAACCCACGGTTATACTTTATAGCAGTGACTCCCAATTAACCATGAGCCAACAAGTGAGTCACCCATGGTGTTGAGTCTTAGACGCTTGGAACTAAAATTATTCAGTTTTAATCCAGTACTTTCTACTGAAGGTCAAACAGTGTCAAAAATCGCATTAAAGACTTTTGACTTTGATAACTCGTTTTTAGTTTTCTAACAACGCCTAAATGAATGCAATGAAGTTATTTTCTTTACAAAAATATTTCTTTCAGAATCTTTTACTAATTAATATCTTTCAGTAATAATTCCATATCTTTTACTAAATAATTACGCATTTGCACATTATATATCTACTCGTCATGAGTATATAATAGGTGTCTATTTCCCATCACATAGATTTCTCACTATTATATTTAGAAAATAGTAGTGTTCAAAGATTTTTTTTTCTTTTTCTAGCAAAATTGATTGTTTGCACTGCTGTAAAGGTTGAGAAATAGTGCTATATAGGATTAAGGTTTGGGTACATGGTTGGCAAAAATACTCACTTTACAGAAAATATTAATTAAATGGGAACTATGTCCATGTGCATTGCCATTCATTAAAATAAAATCAGCGATAACGGAATCTCTGAAATGGAAATGATTGAATCTAAAACCCATGCTCTTTAAACTAATTTTAAACACCAATAATAAAAACCAGTAATATAAGAAATCATTCAAAAAACTTATTTATTATGCATGGTACATTTCTTTTTCGAGGTAAAATATAAAATAAAACCATGCTTTTTATTAAATTGGGTGATAAACGCGAACAGTTTAACAATTACAGGGTTGCATTCAAACAAAATTTTAACAGATTATCCTGCAATTGATACAGAATGTTGAACAATAGATTCTGCTAGAAGAAATCAATTTTCATTTGTGTCTAGTCTTTTATTGTGTCATTGATTAAGCAACTGATTGCATGATCATTATTAGTAAAGAAGAGAATGATGAGAGAAACTTCTTTTTTTTATGCTTTGACGCCCCTTAATCTTCCACAAATCTCAATCACGCTTGAATCTATTGTTCACCCCTCCATGAAATAAAAATGGTTTAGGCCCACTGATACTTTCCAGATGAAACGTGCTTGATTTCTACTCCATATGAATGCTGAGAACAGCACCTTTTTTTCTGCTCTTTCTACTTTTTATTTCTAGGACTGGGGTAGATAATACAAGAAAGAAAAAAAAAAGGATATCCATTTTCAAAAGTTATTCATCGTGTAAGCTGAACCCCGTATCTTGAATTGTCCTCTTTTAATTAAAAACTTCAGACAACAGGTATTTTATTTTATTTGAGCGACGAAAAAGATTTAAAAAAATTACAGTGGTATAGAATGAGGAAAAAAAGAACATATTTGCAACAATGAAACATTTAAGCATATTTTTTTTTAATAAAATGTTAAAGGCATGTTAAAAATATCAAGGTAGCATGTTCATTAAAAAGGATGTAAAATCTGTATAAATAATTTTTTTTCTCACTTAATTACTCGCATATTTACAAAATGAGTTTGCAAGTAATTTTTGATTTTGTATGCTGTTACTTTTTACAGAAAGCTAAAACATACTTGAAATATCTAATCAATCAATAATATTATTTAAAGTTTCATCAAAAAATAATTAACCAGGCAAATCTTTACATCATTCCAATGATAAAATATCAAAATAAAAATGTTTTGCTTTATAAAGTGCGGCTTATCTATTGCTTACAACTTAGATGGGGACCAACTTAGTTTTTGCGCTCCCTTGCATTATGTTGTGTGACGTTTAGGTGCCTTTACCGTACTACTTTAAAATTATAACGTAAAACACATCTCGCTTGCCATTGAATGGTCAAATTTTACATATAATTAGATTTTTCAA